TTTCGACTCTTCTGAAAACTACAAGCCTGAATGCTTTGATACTTGGTGTATATGTACCTTGGGTAGACCTCTCTTAGGTTTGTTCATTTCATGTTGATATCTTCAATTCTCTAATTCTGGTGAATATTTTTGTCATATTTGGTAAAAAGTGATATTTTCGACTTCTTGTTAAAAACCGCAAGTGCAATTGCTTTGATATTACATATATAGGTGCTACATGTGGACCTCTCTCAGATTTGTTCATTTTGTAATGATATCTTTAATTCTCTAATTTTGGTGAATATTTTTGTCATTTTTGGTAAAAAGTGATATTTTCGACTTCTTGTTAAAAACCAATAGTTCAATTGCTTTGATATTACATATATAGATACTACATGTAGACCTTTCTCAGATTTGTTCATTTTGTGATGATATCTTCAATTCTCTAATTTTGGTGAATATTTTTGTCATTTTTGGTAGAAAGTGATATTTTCGACTTCTTGTTAAAAACTGTAAGTCCGATTGCTTTGATATTACATATATAAGTACTACATGTGGACCTCTCTCAGATTTGTTCATTTTGTGATGATATCTTCAATTCTCTAATTTTGTTGAATATTTTTCAAATTTTTGGTAAAAAGTGATATTTTCGACTTCTTGTTAAAAACCAAAAGTTCAATTGCTTTGATATTACATATATAGATACTACATGTAGACCTTTCTCAGATTTGTTCATTTCGTGATGATATCTTCAATTTTCTAATTGTGGTGAATATTTTTGTCATTTTTGGTAGAAAGTGATATTTTCGACTTCTTGTTAAAAACTGTAAGTCCGATTGCTTTGATACTTATACATATTGTTCATTTTCTAATGATGTCTTCAGTTCTTTAATTGAAATGTGCATTGCTAACAGCGGAGCTATCTCAGCCGATAGGCTGCTTGTTGAGAATTGTAATCCAATTGAACCATATTTTAGAGTGGAAAGTAGGGATCCCAGGGGGTGTTTTTATTAATGGAAATGGTGTAGGTACATACTAGTACCATTGTACAATGACATTGTGTAGAACAGGGGTGGCGAGATTGATACGTGTCACGATATAACACTGGTAAATATTATTTTAACAGTGTCGTGAAATAGACTGTACCAAAACCTACCACAACTGTAAATTTATCTCCCACATGTGTATTTTATGCATGTTTATTTTGTGGCTGGCATTTCGTACAAAGAAACACTGGCTTTCCCTGGTTCTATTTTGCCAGTGGGCAATGGTTGATAATTACACAGCGACAGCTTTGTATATGTTAATGAATAAAATCATATGTCATTTGTTCATGCTTTGAAGAAGTAAAATGCATCACATACATGTACTTTGTTTTCATTGAAAATAGGTTTCAGTTGAAATATCTCATTAATTACGGTTGTTTACTATAGTTTTTCTTCTGTCACTTGTGTACCATAGTAACTCTCTTACTGCCCCAAGTAGGTACTTTAGTGATGCTATAGCTATAACCCTTCTGGGCACTATAGTAACCCTCCTGTTAACACCCTTCACCTGGGTATTCAACTGTCACATAATAAACATTTATTCTCCAAATGAGGAAACAGTCTAATGTCAGACACTAATATTTATACAGAAAATATTTTTCAAGTTGC